CCACAGTGCAGGTCAGCTCAGTCATCTGAAGATAAAATAGTCTTTAGGTTATAATAAGTGATAATCTTTAGGTTATAACAGTCACAACAGAAGAAACAAAGCAAAAATATTGTTACTCCCTGATTAACTTTATGAATATTTGAGTAATTTAAAAAGGCGTGTAACTAAACTAAAGCTTTTTTACTCTACCAGTGAAAGAGATCTAAACATAAGAGAAAATCAAGACAGAGTAACTAACATACAGCAGGAACTCACTTTGCCATAGTATTTTAGGGAAAAATACAGGAATTTCATCATGCATTCTGGAAAGTGAAGCTTTTGACTTCTTTGTAATGAGTGAACAATCATTTACTCAAACTACAAGGACTTCTAGCCACTTAGAGCACAATTACAAACCAACCCATCTAATTCCAAAGGACAGGTGTCTGCATTAGACTAGTCCCACGCAACATACAAATCCAAAGTATAGAAAAGGGAATTGAATTTATCACTTTTGTAAACCTCACACAGTAAACACTGTGGATCACATCAGCTTCTGAGGCTTGCCAGTGAATTATTTAAGGTAATTCTTATCCTCCCCTGAGAGAAAGAAAGAGAAAAATAGACATTTGTCTTGCTGCTCCATAACACACCTTCTCCATAGACTACCATGAATGTCAGCTCCTCCCTTGCTTGTTCACCAGCTGCATCATGCCTTGATATGGCAGCAGGGAACATAATATGTCTACCATACTTCCATTCTAGACACGTACTGTAATTGCTGCTGAGTTTTCCACGTCAAAATTTTTATGCTCAATCCACAAATTTTATTAATGTTTTAACATGGGGTGGGTGGGTTATTTTTAACTAAACTGTAAGGAATATGACCATGGAGTATCTGAACTAGTGTTTGGAAGAGGAACCTTGTTGCTAGTGAACCTGTGCACTGTTGATTGTCCACATCAGAAGTTCCAGGGGAACACACTGATTTTTCTTTAAATACATTCATATATAATATATTTAACCACTCTTCAAATAATGTGTGCTTTAGAATAATCCAGTGGAATAGTTATGGAAGCACTAAGCTCTGTAAAAATGTTTCTCACTAACTCATGGATAGTGTTACTTCTTGACTGTGCATCCAAGGGGGGAGCAATAAGAGCATGGCTGAGTAAGGAAGAGTAAAGGGTAGATAAGTATGTGCACACCAGTAATGAGAAAGACAATAATTTAATCTTGCCATATTACTTTCAGAATGAAAACTTTAGGAAAGAAACTGCATAAGGTTTAAAAAAAACAAGTTAATGTGTATTCTTTAGCTTTGCTCAATCGCCATCGCCCAAAATCTCAAGACCCACAAACAGACAGCCAACACACTGCAGATTTCACAAATAAAGAAACAATATATGTGAGAGGAACAAGACTGAACAAGCATGCATAACAGGAAGTACTACACTTACAAAAGGCAAGGGCAGATTAGATACCAAGGAAAAGTTTTCTATCACTTAAAGCAGGACATTACAACAGAACAGTAGTCAAGAAGGGGTCACTGGGTCCTGTCACTGAAAACAGAGAGATTAGATATGAAAGGAGTAAGTCACACTAAGAGCATGAACTTGCTAAGAGCATTTTTTCAACCTTAAGTAACATGGCCGTAAATATACACGGGGCTCAGAGTAAAGATGACTGAACTGTAACCCTTATACTCTACTGACCTGTTTCAGAGTCCTGGGTAGATCACTTGATCTCACCACACTTGTTTTTCCAGCTGTGAAACACCAGCAACATCTATTACACAGGGACCTGGTGAAAAGTTTCACACTTACAGATAACTGAAAGACTTCGTAGGGCACGAGTTTGTGTATCTGAAGTTTGCTCCTTGCCTCCCATATCAATTTGTCTAACAGTTTAACATACCTCTAGCTACAAACTTAATCTTGCTACTATTTTCTCATAAAGTTATATTATTTTCTCATACTGTTCTGCAGTAGCTGTGGCTTTAAACATTAACATGAGAGCAACTTAACAACTCTAGAAACTAGTATGTCAACATCCTACTCAACAGATTTGTTTACTCTGTTTTTTCAGAAGCCCGTTTACTTGAAAGACAATGTTTTAATGCATTTTACCCCACTTAATCCCACAGAGCTAGAAAAAATTGAGCTAGAAATGCTCTTCCCTATCTTGGGAAATACTGAATTTTTTACTAAATTGTAGCCCACCAGCTAAAGCTATGCAGTCCTTCTGAAGGCAATGCATTTCCCCAGCCCATGAGGACATCAACAAAACTGCACAATTAATTGAACAGCAGTTGACTCCAAAACATGTCACAGCAAAATTTTACAAGCTGTAAACCAATTTGATTTTCACATGTGAGGCTCAGTTCATCATTTGGACAGTACAGCTTTTCAATTTGGCATGGGAATCACTGAAAAAAAGCAGGGATCCTTATCTATCATGCCGTTTCCAAAGACCCTTTTCAGGATAAGGGTATTCCTCTGTCTACTGAAATATGAGGCACAAATGAACACATAAAGGCGGCAAATCTAATTTTCATTCAACACTCTAAGAGGAAAATGCAGTTTAATGAAAAGTATAACTTGCTTAAGCCATTGTACTGTCTTCTAAGAGTTCATTAGTAAATTAACAATACTTTAAAAGAAGCAACAAAATGAGAAAACAATGTTGGCCCAATGGCTTAAGCAGATTAACAGATCTGCATCCAGAAAACAAATACTGAAGAAGTGGTAAAACGTATTCTGCTTGTGCAGCGTCATTTAAACAAAGCTGCAGGTTCTATTTTACTTGCTTGACAGCTCATATATAACAGATAAGGAAAACAGCAGTCCCTGACAAAAGGAAAAGTAATGACAATAATAAGGGTTTGATCTAACAGATAAGCGCAAATGAGGTCACCTCAAAAACTGTCACCTGAAACAAATGGACTATTGAAAAGTTCAGAACTCGCCAGTTAAAATGTTTCTGCTCTCACTAATTCATTTTCCACCTCACTGTCCTTTCTTCTACTAGGTACCATAAAAATACAGTTAATATTTAAAGCTGAAAGGATACAAAACATTGCATTTCATTTAGGGCACTTTCTATCACATTCAATGGAGACTGTTTAAATAGAAAAGAAACTAGAAGTGCTACATCTTTTTCACAACAACTCAGCACGGTCATAAAGTCCCTGTGCTTCTACCACCCCCTACATTCCTGCAGCTACTTCTCAGTAACTGATTGCAGCAATCCCAAATTACTCATTTGGGATGCAAAGTTTAAGAAATAGGAACAATGAGGTCAGAGCACTGAAGTTCTGACAATTCCTGTGGTGGAAACCACTAATAACAGCTACACTGGTATAAAATTTCTTAACAAAGAAATGCCTCGACTGTATGTCCCACAAAACACCACAATGCTCTTTGTAAGTACATCATTGTAAATACATGTGGGGATCATTGCTTTTAATTATGAAGTATTCTTAGTTTTCCTTGCAGTTTGCTTTTTACTTTCTGGTCGTACTTCATATTTTTAGAATAAAAATATACAGACAGTTACACAGACACCATCATACAGTGGGAAAAATAACTGAAATGCTAGCAAAGGATGGAGGTTTCTTCTGCGTTGTTTAATTTGTGCCACTTTGACAAGCCAAAGGAAACAAAATCCTCAGCATTTTCAACAATCCTTCATCTCTTCTGATAGCTGCCAAATTATACCTACACAGGAATCAAAATTGTGAAGCACAGAGGGCTAGCAGGAAAAAGTAAACTTAGTTGGGAACACAATGTAACAACTGGGACAAGGGGAAGGAAGAGAAAAAAAAATTACTCTGGGGAAAAAAAAAAGAAGGAAAAAAGAAAGAGGATCCAAGTAAACTAATTCATTGCTGCCCTGGAATTGTCTCAAAAATTCAGACTCAGGTTGCCAGAATTCAAATGCTGTGTGAAACACATACTTCTTAGGAAGCCAAACAGGTGAAACTGAGCTAAAATAAAAATTAAAGACACCATACCTTTTATGTATGTGTCCAGAAAATCAAGACTATAAAAATCATCACTTTTTTTTTAAGTCCATTCATGCAAGCAACAATAGATGCACAAAATCTCCTGATATTTTATTGGTTTTTCATCAGGTCTCCAAAAATCAACATTTTTCACTCTACCCTTCATATTTAGTAGGTACCACATGAGGTCTGCTTTCTAGATCATGGCTTAGGAAAATACTTCCTCCAGATCTGTTCTGAAAGGAAATGAAAAAAAAAAGAAAAGTACTTTTGGTTGCGCACAGTCATGTCTTCTGCAAGAGAGGGGAAAAAAAAAACCCACCCCAAATCCAAACACGACTGGGCATTTTGTTTGAATCCAAATAAACTTAAATCAGATCAGAAAACCTCAAACCTTTATTATTACTATTAAAACATTATGGACGACATTTGTTCCATTAAAAAAAAATCTAACTACATTTCGCTTTTTAGTTAAAACATCTGTTTAGAAACTGGGATGGTTAAAATTCCCTTCTCATAGTGTATAACAACTAACCATAGCTTCCAAACAGGGACCGAACACCACTGTATTCTATTTACATGCATACAATTTATTTAAAACTAAGCCTGTGATCAGGTGCTGCCAGGGGGTCCAATGTTCTTGCTGTCATTCAAGGTGAGAAAGAAAAAGCAATCCATACTGGCAACAGCTGATGCTATATTAGAATAGAAAGCTGCAGTGTCAACTGCTCTAACATGGTCCCGTAACTGGAACAAAACTCTGCACCACCACAAACCTTTCTCTCCCACCCTTCCCAAAACCAGTCACATTGACATTTTTGATCCACAGATCCATGGCGTGTACAAATAGAAGACTTAGAAATGTACTTTCTTCCAATATATTCTGTAGTAACCTCCGAGTGAGTGTTTGGATTTGTCATGATCTTCACATACACAGAATTCTACAGTATTTTTTGCAGACCACTGGATAGGTATTCTATTAATGTCTGCTGTAGTAAAACATTTGAATCCACACAGAAAAAATATATTTAATGTTCATGTTTACGTAAAGCACTTAACAAGAAGAGAGTAGAATTTAATGCTTAGAGACCATCTTTGAATGCTTTCAGTAGCAGGTCAGCAGCCAGCCCAGGAGACAAGACACCACTATGAACTTTTTCTTCTAGCAGTGGAATCTTATCCTTGACTGCCAAGTGACTCCGGAAATGTTCCAACATATTTTCCTGGATGAGATTCCACATCCACACTTTCTGCTGTTTTTGTCGTTTGGCAATCAACTCGCCACTAGTGAGCATGAGGTCACGAAACTCTGTCATTTTATCCCACATATCTGAGATACCTTCTCCAGTTTTGGAAGAGATGCGCATTACCTGTTGGATTCAGAAGAATTTTTAAAACCAAGTAACTACCGGGCTTGAGGGTTTAATTTCTACATCAGGTAGATTGCATGAAAATTAACAAATGCATAAGGCAAGCTTACTTCAATTCACTAACTTTATGAAACTCAAAAGAGTTTTGTGCTGCGCACGTTTTCTCTAAAAATAAAGATCTCTAAAATTGGGATTGTACTAACTATAAGTGGACCCTGAGATCCACAGCAATTGGGATAAAGAGGCCTTGTCCAACTACTTGTATAATGAGTGAGAATCATATTTAACGTGTCCTTTAGCTAAAAGGTACAATGTTGCCATTTTACTTAAATGTAGAGTTAATGACATACACTGGTAGCTACTCTTTTGCCCTTAAAGTATTCCAGAAAGGAGCTATTTCGACTATTTTTTGCATTTTGTTTTCCAGACTAGGAACTCCTTTTACAAAAAATATTTCAGGCATCCAACATGATCTTCTAAACGGAAAAGGTTTTGTTTTTTTCAGAAAAGTCTCTCTTTCTCCAATCTAATGGATAGGATCTAGCCCCTACACATCAATATTTTCTTTCTTCCAGTTGTCAGACACTGCCATCACTGAATGAATCATAGGCTGGAAAAGACCTCTAAGATCATCAAGTCCAACCGTCAACCCAACACCACCATGCCTACTAAACCATATCCCAAAGTGCCACATCTACACGTTTTTTAAACACCTCCAGGAATGGGGACTCCACCACTTCCCTGGGCAGTCTGACCACTCTTTCAGTAAAGAATTATTTCCTAATATCCAACCTAAACCTCTCCTGGTGCAACTTGAGGCCATTTCCTCTCGTCCTATCACTAGTTACTTAGGAGAAGAGACCAACACCTGCCTCACTACAACCTCCTTTCAGGTAGTTGTACAGAGCAATAAGGTCCCCCACTCAGCCTCCTCTTCTCCAGACTAAACAGCCCCAGCTCCCTCAGCTGTTCCTCATAAGACTTGTTCTCTAGACCCCTCAGCAGCCTTTTTGCCCTGCTCTGGACACACTCCAGCAACTCAATGTCCTTCTTGTAGTGAGGGACCCAAAACTGAACACAGTACTCGAGGTGCAGCCTCACCAGTGCTGAGTACAGGTGCACGATCACCTCCCTGCTCCTGCTGGCCACACTACTCCTGATACAAGCCAGGATGCCGCTGGTCTTCTTGGCCACCTGGGCACACTGCTGGCTCATGTTCAGCCGGCTGTCGACCAACACCCCAAGGTCCTTTTCCGCCAGGCAGCTTTCCAGCCACTCCTCCCCAAGCCTGTAGCGTTGCATGGGGTTGTTGTGACCCAAGTGCAGGACCCAGCACTTGGCCTTGTTGAACCTCATACAGTTGGCCTCGATCCAGCCTGTCCAGATCCCTCTGCAGAGCCTTCCTACCCTCAAGCAGATCAACACTCCCGCCCAGCTTGGTGTCATCTGCAAACTTACTGAGGCAGCATTCAATCCCCTCATCCAGATCATTGATAAAGACGTTAAACAAAAACAGAAAGAGAGACAGATTACTAACAACCTGTTTAATTCACTGGTCTCAACAGTTCTTCTGGGTCACATTTATCAGATGTGACCTCTCATCACATCTAGAAACAAAAATTACAAAATGATGGCTAAGCCTCAAGCAGTCCAGCTGATTTAAACTTAATTCAATGGGTCAATTTTAATAGCAGGGTAGAGCAAACCTTCTTTATATATATGAAGGGAGTGAGAGTGTGTATGTGTTTATTTTATATACATATATTAAAAATCAGTACTGAATCTTTTCCTTAGTAATTTATTGTAACCTTTTAACAAATGGAATATTGCATTAAAATTAAAGGCCCACAGGATGATAATTCCATTAATCTAGACATTGCATACACAAGCAGATCAGGTTCTTGCCCAAGAACTTTTAATATGTGAGAAATTTTTAACAAGTAAAGCAATAAAGGAAACACATGAAAAAGTGAAAGAACGAAGACAATTATAGGCTTCAGAGCATAAATGTAGGAGAAATGGCTAACGGGACATTTTAAGATATACATAGTTTACAAAAAGCAAGACAAGTTTGTACCACTACCAGTGTTAGTAATAGGTCTGCTAGTGCTGAGCTTGTAGCTCAGGACAGAAATCACAGGGAGCAGGACTGGCTTTGCAGAGTGTTTCATGTAGGAAACTTGAGATCAGAGGTGAAACAGAAACAGCAGCAATCAACTCTCTAGCACAGTGTAAATCTAAACAACTGAACTGAAATTTTTATAAAAGACCCCAGGGACACTAGAGCCAGATGAGACGGTAACAATCCTAACTCATTCAGCCCCTTCTTAGGGAAGGGGCAGGGGGGACACTCCAAACAAAACACCCAAACACACCAACAAAACCCAAACAAAACAAAAAACCACCCAAATTCCCCCCCAAACCATAGTGAAATACACAAACCTTTGGTCTCCAAACCTTCGAACGTTTGCGAAGTAGCTTCATAGCACTAATGTATTCAGCTTGTATTCTCCGTGCAGGCACAATTAAATCACCATCAGCTTTATTTATAGCAACTAGATCTGCCATCTCAATTATACCCCGTTTGATACCCTAAATGGAACATGGAGAGAAATCATGAATACCCCGAAGGACTGTGACACGCTGATTTAACCACAAAAAGCAGGTCAAAATGCTTTGCTAGTTTCTGGTGGATCCTGCCAAATTTGTTGTGTGTGCATGTGGTAGTCATGCAAGAGTAGTACCAACAGCCCCTTCCATTGCTAGTTATTACTCTACTTTGACATGAGAAAAGCAAATATGGCTATCAGGTTTCATACCTATTTCATGCATAAAGACTTAAGTTTAACCAAAACACGACCAAGTTTGCAAACCTATTTATACTGATTTCTGTTCTCCTATAATACACAGCTGCTCCTCGTAAATAGGCCAAAGTCCCGACACAAGTGTGGGGGGGGGGGGGGGTGTACAGTATCAGATCCTAACTTTGCAATAAATTGATATAACACTGAAAAGGCTTCAACAGTAGCAGTGTAATTTACAAAATACTATTGACAGGGGCTTTCTGCACAGACAAATACTACGCCTTAGATTTAAGTTTCTCTTTCTAGTCCCAGGTAATGCTTAATAAGGGAAACTGAAAAATACCTGTAATTCATCTCCACCCGCAGGTGGTAGCAGCAATACAAACATATCAACCATATCAGCAACAGCAAATTCTGACTGTCCCACACCTAAAAAATTAAATCCAGAGCTTACCATTTCCTGCAAACTTTCAGTCACATTAATGACAGTAATTATGGCAGATGCCAGTACTGCACCATGAACAAATCCCACTAGCAAAGACAACATGAAACACAACAGTTTTTACAGAACAGTGTTTTTACAAACCATACAGAACTAGCCAATTGACAGAATGGGCATTCATTTTCAACCAGTAACCATGTATGAAAGCATAAGCAAACTCAAGGATGAAAGCATGCAAGCAGTAGCATGCCGCATTTAGATATCACAACAGGATAATGAAAAGAAAACCCTAAGCACATACCTACTGTTTCCACAAGAACAACATTGTAGCCTCCTCCTTCACACAGCAGAATGGCTTCATTTGTGGTCCTTGTTACACCTCCCAGCGTCCCTCTGGTTGGAGACGGTCTGATGTATGCGTTCATGTCTCTTGACAACTCGATCATCCGTGTTTTATCACCCAGTAGAGAACCTTAAACATTTAATGTTAAATTATCTCAAAAGCACAACACAGCCAAACTTTCCCCCTCCCTCCTCCCCAGTAAATGAGTGAAAAAAGACAAATTTTTTTGAACGAAGACAGTCAAGTAAGAATATCCCAACAACAGCTGTTCAAGACATTGCTGAGGAGTAGGAAGTTACTGCCAGGTTATTCTGCCTATCAGCAGCTGGAAAGGCCTAACAAGCAAACCGTACTGCAACCAAACACAAAGAATTTGTTCCAGGTCAAATGAATTCTGCAATTCCTTAATGGCTTTTTGATGCCTACGCACAGCAGGCCACACAACTACATCTTTGTTGCTTCTAACCAAAGGGACGAGTCTCTGCCTTATGATTCTGGTATTTGTTGATTATGGATTTTTTGTTTTGTTTTTAAGCAAGCTGACAAGCATCCCTGCCTTCCTTCTACTCATACAAACTTTAAATCGGATTCAGCGAGATCTACATGCATGATGAACATTCCAACAGACAAGAGATGCTCAGTTCTTTTAACTGATGCAGTCCTGGTATCATATTTTGCTATTCTGTTGATGCATCTTGAATATATGCATCCAAGAATACAGCCTTTCTTAACTCCAGGTCCTTGTCATGGTAAAGATCTCTTTCTTTTTTCCATAGTTACACGCTACAACATCTTCTCTGACAGCGCAGAAGCTGGAAAAAAGAATGATGTTCCCTAGCAGCTGCCCATTATAAAAAGATCAAAATCAAGGTTCTATCATTTATATCAGAGATACCATTAATCAAGCATGGTCAGCCTACAGTTTCCCTACAATTTTTGATTTGAGAGTGACAGATTACAGCCACACAACTTTGGACAACTTAAAATCTAGGGAAAAAAAAAAATCAGGCTACAAGTCAGACAAATGGTCTGCATCAGGAGACCTTGACACTAGCGTAATCAACAAAAATCCAAAAATTCATATTAGGGAACTAACAAATGTTCCAAAATTCAGTCTGATCTACACATTCGGATTGTAGCATCCTCTAAATAGTTTTAAATTAGTATATGCTTCCTGCCCAATGATCAGCATTACCACCGCTGAAATTAACACAGAAACGAATGCCCCTCTACTCCTTCATTCACAGGGAAATAAATAAATACAACTAGCAAGCGAAAACTGCAGTTTCAGACCAAAAAAACTGTAAAGCAACATTTGAATAGAGGCAAAGACGAACCCTGACAAAATTAGGATACTGACACGTATTTCCCAATTTCATATCACACAGAGAAAAAAAAATGAAAACTTAAAATAACATTTCTTTTTAGCATTTTACTTGTATAGGCCCCCAACTTTTCCTACATTTGGCCCAACAAGATACTCCTATAGTTCACAAGGCATTAGAAACCTGAAACTTTAATTCACACTCACCACCACTTGTACTAGAGGAAGGATCTACAGCCAACACAGACACTTTGTATTTTCTTTCTGTAAGCATTTGCCCAAAGCATTCTATGAAAGTCGATTTCCCAGCACCAGGAGGACCAGACAACCCTAAAGAATATTAGGAAGAAAAAAATTTTGCTAAACAAATAATACATCACATAAACACTGTCAACATCTAAGTTGATAACAATTCATACTTTAGTACAATATCACAACAAAGGCAAATAAAAGCTATGCCACAACCTGTATCCCCAGCTAAGCAGTTGTAACTCAGCTGAAATACACTACCTTGGTTCAATCAACACAGCAGCGCTCACTTCACCAGCCCTCATCCTTCCATACCAACCTAACACCAGGTTTATCCAGCCTTATTTCCTCTCCTCCAAATAAATTTATCCATGCTGACTTATACTTCAGAACTTTAAAAACACCACATCCTAAAACTGTACTTTTTGGATTTACTATTTATAAAAGACACACTCTAAAAGCAAAAGCCCTTACCTTGAAGAGCTGTTATTTCAAAAAAAAAAACAGGCAATTTGCTGACATGCCAAAGCATACAAACTAAGATTAGCTTGTTAACCTCCACCAAATATTTCTCACTCCCACGCCCAAGTTCTCATTCTTACTACCTTTGTACACGCACACGAGACACAACAGCTAGACATGACATACTTTAGTAGTCCATCTCTTCACAAGAGAAAATATTTTACAGTTTCCAAAATAACCAGGTTCAAATCTCCTCAGCTAACAAGGAGGCTGCTTTGAAGTAAGGCCATAAACCAGGAAGATAAATATTTTTACAAACAACTGCCCCCCCCCCCACCGAAGAAGCAGCAAATATTTCCAGAGCTCTTTCAAAAGCATTTTCCAGCTCAAGTCATAACTCTACTGACAACAGAAGTGATCTAGATTGGTTCCAAACCACGAAAAAATACTGATCCAAGATTACAGACCACGACGCTTAAAGAACAATAGTGACAACGAGTAGCAAGACTGCAATTCCATCAAAGCAACTACTGGACAGACATAAAAGCACTAACCCACTCTAAAGGCAAGTGGCTTTCCTTGATTTAACTTTTCTTGTTCCCTGTGGTAGGATAATACCTTCTGAAGGAGCACCTGGGCTATTTTCTTCTTCCTACTCTGAGTTGATTCTACAAGTGTAATGGCTTCTGCTAAACAGGCTCTATGACCCTGGATTAGTCCACTGTAAAGTCTGTCTACGAGTCTTTCTTCTCTGTCAGAAAGTCCCTCAATTTGCTGGTCACGGGCTGCCTGCTGACACAGCGCTCTCCTCAAACCACCTGATGAACACATCCATCTCGTATGATAGCGGCGCACTGGCCTAAGAGATTCAGCGCACGGGAAATCTGCGCTGGGAATGAAGTGACAGTTTGGGAAGTAAGTTCTTCTAGAGAAATAACAACGAGGGAGTCTCAGCAGCAAAGAGGGGATCTTCATCTTGTTCGGAATTAAAAGTACCAGAGGTATCGGTTCACTTCTGTTTGCAGACACCCTAAAGAGAAAAAAAAACATTTTTACTTCCTTCAAAACAGCTGTAAGGACTCTGGTGAAACCTACGCACACAGGCAACCGTGGGCTTTTATTCTACCCACACCTACTGTTTCAAACAAACAACGATAGCTCCGTCTTCCCACTGAAAAAACACAACAAAAAGCAGCTACGGAATCTTCAATAGCACAGCATCTCTTCATTATCATACGTAAAAAATAAAAATATTAATAATCAATTTTAAAAATGTTTAAATAAATACAAGCAGATAAATAAAAATCACTGATAAGTAAAACAGTCTCTAAGAGCACACACAGTACCCTAAAAATCCAGGAAGGAACCAACTCTTATGCTCACTGAAATTGCTGTATATTCTATTTTCACGGCTGCAGGGTTTTTTAAAAACTATTACTCAGGATGAATTTTTTACACCTTACTTCCAGAAGGAAAAAAAGG